TATCATGCAGCTCCTGGAAAGCGATCGACGGCAAGGCTCAGAAACTCAAATCCCGGCGCAGAATACAGAGAATACTGGACATCAGTGGGGAAGCGGAGAAGATTGCTGGCATCGTGAAAGACCTGTCGTGGTCAATCCAGTGTTTCATGGTATGATGCGTTTGTCCTTGATAATTTGTTCCGCTCGCTGATATACTGCTGCAAATTGTAGTTGGAGGGGACGGTTGCGGTTGAATCCACTCTGAACGTGTGTATACATCTCTCATGACGTACAGAGTACAAGCTGACTCCCGATTCTTGCTAGCGCTTGGAGTCCCGTCTGGAAGGTGCGTCCAAGACCGACACGATGACCTTATTACTCTAACGGTTGTCACCTAGTTAAATCTCTACCGCCTTTCGCGGCCTTGGCGCGATTCGACTCCAGCCGCGAAGAGTGCACGACTTGCCTCGAAGGGACACGTACGGGCATCTTGGAAGACGTCCACACCTGGGCGATTAGTCTGCATGTGCCTGACGATACCACGAACTCTGCGATGCAACCTGCCAACCATCAGCCCAGCATCTTCTGGCTGAATGGCCAACCCGGCTCTGGCAAGACGACAATCGCACGGTCCGTCGCCAAGCGATGTCACGATGGAGGCATCTTGGGCGCGAGCTTCTTCTGCTCTCGATCAGATGCCGACTGCAACAACCCCTCCATGATTTTCACGACCATCGCTTACCAACTCGGATTGCTCTTTCCATCTTATAGTGACCGAGTCTCAGAGATACTGAAGAAAGATCCCCTGCTGGTGTACGCTGCCGTCACTCGTCAGTTCGAGGAGCTGATAATACAACCGCTGGCACACCTCCATGACCTACACAACGACGGTTCACCCATTCCACCATGCATTGTGGTTATCGACGCGCTGGATGAGTGCCGAGGCTCGAAAGCCACGTCTGCGATCCTGTCCAATCTGCTCAAGCACGCAGACAAACTCCCTCCACTTCGATTCTTCATCACCAGCCGTCCCGAGCACCATATCGTCACCAGCTTTGATTCCCCTGACTATCGCAACGCCTCCAGTCGGCTAGTTTTGCACGAGGTAGAACTAGAGGCCGTCACCCCAGACATCAAGCTTTACATTACCGCGTCTCTGTTAGATATCAAGGTGCGCTTCAGGCTGGCAGGGACTTGGCCTGGCGAGGGAGACATCGAGATCCTTGCCAAGAAGGCCGGCGGCTTGTTCATCTTTGCCGCCACTGCCGTCAAGTTCATCGAAGACCGGAAATATCTGAACGGCCCTCGTCGACAGCTCGAGATACTGATATCCGCCATGGCGTCAGATGGCTCCTACCGACTACTGGACTGGTTGTACTCGCAGGTGCTCGAGACCACATTCCCTGACATGCCCGAAGACCTATTAGAGTCGGAGCTTAAGTCGATCCTGGGGTCTATCGTCACCGTTCAAGATCCTCTCCCCCTTTCCGGCCTCTCGCGGCTGATCGGACTGCCCGCTGACACGGTGTACAGTTCCCTCGTGGGCCTCCACTCTGTCCTCATCGTGCCGGAGTCCGAAGAGTCCAAGTCGAACATCCGTATCATCCATCCTACCTTTGCCGAGTTCCTAATTGACTCGACTCGCTGCACGAACCGATCGTTCACCGTGAATTCGCAGCAACAGCATACGGAGCTACTTTGCGGGTGTCTGGAGGCTCTGCAAGAGCTAAGGCGGGACATCTGCGACATTCGAGATCCCTCCTTGCTGAACACCGAGGTTCCGAACCTGCTCGAGCGTGTGGAGAAGGCGATACCACCACATGTGAAGTATGCCTGTCGGCACTGGTACACTCATCTGGTGAACGGAAACCTTTCAGCTGAGAATCTCGAACCACTTTCGGAGCTTGTGGAGAGGCGGCTGCTGTACTGGGTCGAAGCCTGTAGTGTGCTCGGAGTGCTGAGGGAGGCTATCTTGGGTCTGAGTGAGTCCCAGCGCAAGCTCAGGGTAAGTGCAATTTATTCTCTGTGATACTTCTTGTGTCTAAAATTTTGATTAGGACCTGGATGATGACCGAGCTCGGAATATTGCAGTGCTGTTGAGCGACTGCGAGCGGCTCATTGTCGGTTACTTCCCTGCGATCAGTGGTTCAGCGCTGCAGCTGTACCATTTGATCCCGCTACTCGTTCCGAGGAAGACAGCGCTTGCACAGATCTACGCAGGCGAGTGTCGCGCGGAGAACTCTGTCAAGGTTTTCGGAGGTGCAACAGACTCTTGGGACGCCTGCTTGGGCACGGTCACTGCACATGAAGGTCAAGTGGTCCGTGCTGTCGACCTCTCACCCGACGACAGGACAATCGTCTCTTCGGGAGACGATAACAAGATTCGGCTTTGGGACGCCCTCACCTGCGCCCAGCTTCTCGTCCTCTACGGTCATTCCGACTTCGTTCGCTCTGTCAAGTATTCCCCGGACGGCGCTCGCATTGTCTCTGCTGCTGACGACGGCACCGTCAAGATCTGGGATGCCGTATCCGGCGTGCTTCTCTGCACCCTGAAAGGACATACGAATTGGGTTCTCTGCGCAGTCTATACACCTGACGGCGGGCGCATTGTGTCTGGCTCCAGGGACAATTCCATCAAAATCTGGGACGCCGAGACAGGAGCCTGCTTGATGACCTTGACCGAGCATCGAGACCGGGTCACATCCATTGCTGTGTCTCCGGATGGCCTGTGGATGGCGTCAGGCGCAGATGACATGGTCTGCTTGTGGAGCTTGGAGGCGCCGTACACTCGTCGAATCTTATTGGAGCGGGGACGTAAGGACTTATTCCATCCTGTCGCATTCACACCAGATAGCTCCAAAGTTCTGACCGTCCCGTGGAAAGCAGGCTCGGGGCAGCTGTCTAGTATCTGGGATGTCAAGACCGCCGACCACCTCCGTAATCTCCAACCATCGGGCCAACCGTCCTTGTCCACCTGCAGTCCCAGCTTTCCCTCCGCCGGAGACAAGTTCGCGTGTGGATCGGGGAACTCTGTTCTCATCTTGGACCTTGCAAATAGCGAAGCTCAGCAAGTATTCGCCGGGCACACCCGTGACGTCATCTGTGTCGCCTATAGCCAAGACGGGACTCGCATCGCGTCTGGCTCGCGGGATGGTACTGTTCGACTGTGGGACACGACGCAGAATGCAGTGAACACACCGCAGCTCGAGAGCGCCATCAAGCCATCTGATCCGTCTAGCAAGGAGTCAGCGGACTGCCGATTGACCATCTTCTCTCACGACAAAAGTCGTGCGCTGCTGGTACGCGGCAATGATTCCATCGAGGTGTACAAGACGGACACCTGGGAGTGCGCATACAAGCCTCTATCCTTACCGTCGGGATGTACGCACTACGCAGCGTTCTCACCAGACGACGCGATGGTCCTTGTAGCATCAGACGGAGAGCCTGGCAGGGTGGCACTCTGGGATGCGGCTTCTGGGTCGCTGTGTGCCCGGTGGGAAGGCGAGCTGTATGTGGCGCAGTGGTCCCCCTCTTTCCAGAGCACATTCATGTGGAGCGGCGTGTTGGGCTACATGCCGCACTGCTTCGGCGGCCAGTCGTCGTCGATCATGTTCTCGCCAGACAGCCGGCGCCTGCTCACACCGGCCATCTCCAGAGCCGGGAACATTGGACAGCATTCTGCC